AGTCTCGCGGGCTTCTCTCTCGCGCACTTCCGCTGCATACGAGAAGCGCTGCCCACCCTGAAGAGGACTAGATCTGTCTCGGACTCACTTGCTCTCTTCGTATTCCTATTCAAACTACGAACTGGGAACTCCAATGCTGTGATCTCGAGTCTTATGGAACTCGGCGACCGTAAACAAGCTTCATATTGTTTCCCGAGACTCTTCAAGGCCTTCGAGACTGATGTCGCGCCCTACAGGGTGCCCTTCACGACTTCTACTTCTGGTCGTTGAAAATGGGTCTCGAACTGTCAACCCATAAATGTGGTGTTATGCGAATAGGCTCGAACAGAGTGAAATTCAATTACAGTATGGGTGATGAGTGATGACACTCTGGGAGAACTTCGGACTGTGAAAGATCTGGGAGTGATATTTGCCCCCTCGCTCACATTCAAGGAACATGTCACGCAAGTGCGCTCAAACATGGGAGCGTGGATAATGAGAAGCTTCATTGTGAACCAGCCCAATGTATATCTGAGAATGTACAACTCACATATCCTGCCCAATCTGCTATACTGTTGTGTTATCTGGAATCCGAGGAATGCCGGCGACCTAGATGCCCTCGAGCGAATGCAGAGGAAATTTGTGCGTAGAGTTGAGCATAGATGCAACGTCAGAAAGGGAACTGTTAAGATCCCGAGCATAGCAGAGCTAGTGATGGATGTAGATATCAAGTACCTCAGACGAGTAATGAAGAAGGAGGAGTTATTCGATGAGCTGTTCAACCTGTCGACTTCGAAAACGCGGCAAGGATTTTTTTCAGCCAAACAGGTAGCAAAGACGACGACTGTGAAACACTTGTACCCGTGGAGAATTACCACGATAATTAAAATCGTTTTAGTGAATAAACGAGAGTCACATTCATGCTCCATGGAATCGTTTCGGTAAGTCGCCAGACCCTTCTGGATCACACCACGGACACCGCTCGAAGGTCGCTGGGTCTGAATCACAATCAATTAGCGCTCGTGCTTGACGGAATATACACTCGCCATCAAAAAAGCTTCAACAAGGCGTTCCAGCGTCGAGAGTTCTCTGGTCAAAAAAAAGTCCCGTTGTGCAAGCCGTTTACGATATGCACGACAAGGATTCATCGTAGATTTCGCGGGACCATACAAAGGAAGCGATAATGATGCCACGATTGTTCTTGACGTATTGCAGAACAACGATTTGCTGTCCTTGCTCGCCAAGGGAGACTTTCTCGTCGTCGACCGTGGGTTCCGAGATGCGGTCGAGAAAATGAAGGAGTTAGGTAAGATTTTTTCCATCAGGTCCAGTTTTTCTGAAATTTCAATTTTTTGCTATTTTTCGTCTATAAAATTCTCTAACACCGCCCCTGAGTGGACTAGATCGATGAAACTTCGGTGGCGGGTAGAGCTCGGTTGGGGCTATACCTGGCCGAGTTTTGGTGTGATTCGTAGCGATGGTCACTGAGCTAGAGGCATCGGAAACTCAAAAAAATAAGAAAAAAGTGGGAGAGGGACCTCTCGCAAAGCACTTGACGAAAAAACTAGGATCTTCGAAGCCGTCTCCCCTCGACACTTCGATAGAAGAGGCTTTTACGAGCATCTTGAGACCAAGCAGGGCAAGATCGGTCGATCCATTCGGTTCTTATTCATGATTTATTCGAAAAACCGAAAACGTCCGATTTCACTTGGGGTCGGTCAATCCGCATCAAATCGAGCCGTCAGCGATTGTCCAGAATGTGGTCGATCAGGGGCTTCCCTCATGAGGTTCCAGCAATAGTCTGCCATCATAGACTCATCCCACCTCCCTTGGTATCGCTCCTCCATGATGCTGATGTTCTGATGGAACCTTTCGCCTTGCTCGTCGCTCATCGACCCTAAATTCTCAGGAAAGTGATCAAGGTGGGCGTGGAGATAATGAGCCTTGATACTCATTCTACATCCGAGAACGCGGAAGCTTTCTAGAAGTCTCTGCACCAACTCCACGTAGTTGGGAGCTCTCGTGTTCCCCAAGAAATTCGTGGCGACTGTGACGAAGGATTCCCAGGCGGCGGCTTCTTCCAGGTTCATCGACTCAATGAATTTTGGGTCCTTCGTGGGTCGCCATCACGAAATTACGCGGCCATAAGATATGTTATAAGATATGTTATCCAATAAGCCATGTTCCAACTCGGCTTCTACCCCTCATCTTCGGTGCTTTAGAAGCGGACCTAGAGGAATTTCGGAGGGAGACAAAGAACCGGGTCGAGAACGCGGTGAGCGAGACGCCGTGTGTCCGGTGCCAAGGGGATGCAGTCGAGCAGAAGCGGAGGGAGAACGAGGTGGAGTCTTTTGAGGAAGTCAGAGCTGTAATACCCGCCACTTATTCAAGCTTCTAGCGTCTGCCACGAGATCATAACAATACAATAAATGACGTCAGTCAGTAATCAGTAACTCAGCAGCTAGCCGGCAGCCGGCACGTGCATTATCTTTAGAGTGATGAAACAAGAACTTTACAATAGCGAGGGCAGAGACGCTCGAGGACCGGTTCGGTCTGTTAGACCTGAATTGGCCGGAGGAGTGCCTGAAGCACGTGATACGCCAGCCGGAACAAGGATGGACGAACGGGGCTATGAAGATGATCGTCTTTGGGAGCGATAACAAGCTGGAAGGTGAGCCGTGGAAGGAGATTAGATCGCAGTTCCCCAAGGTAGGAGATCTGGTTGGCCTTGCTGCTGGCAGCGTCGCCGTTCTTCGGAGCTTCGAGGACGTGGAGGTCATCAGAGAGATGGGGCAGGATCGTCCTCGGGGGGTTCGGATACTTGTCGTGGGCTCAATGAAGCGGGAAGGGAAGGTGGACGCGGCGGATCTCCGGATGTGGGAGAGGGAAGTTCGGGAGCTGCAGGAGCTGTCGGGCAGTGAGTCTTCGTCGACCCTGCATGTCGAAACCAACGGCTCCCCAGAGCCCTGGAAGTCGCGTGCAGATCTTCGGGAGGAGAACACGGCGGCCCTGGGGAAATCTTCGTGTGCACGAGGGTCGGAAGTCTGCGACCGGAGGGTATCGACTTATATAACTTATAACTTCAGTATCAGTGTCCCCGACTCTTTCGTCTAAAGATTGGAGATCGCCGATTGCGCTCGAAAGCCTACAGAGTTCTCGCCGATCGGGGTGAATCGTTTTTATTCCGTTGAAGCTCTTCTGACGTCATCCACTCGGTGGTCGAAGTGACCGGAGTACTTCAGCTCGCAGTTATTGTGGAACGAGCGAATTTTGTCAAACCCTCGTCAACGATTCCGATCTTTTAGACCTTCCGCTATTCGCCAGGAAAGCTTTCCATTTGTGCGCGTCTCATGAATTTATGAATACGTTTAAAATACTCGTTTTCCTTCGGATAGATCTTACGGTAATCTCACTCGACTCACCGCAAGAGTCGCTTAGTCGGCTGCAGTTCAGGGAAAGTGCATGTTAAATAAACACTATCATCCGAGATGCTCGCGTCTGTCGTTTCTCTGAGGACTGCTTAGTCCGTCAATTCGGCCATCCGGAAATTTTCATCAGGGCTGGCTCGAGGCCGCATCCGCTTGCGTAGGGAAATCTCGTCATCTTGAAATGCAATAACTGTGGAGAACCTACGCTATCGATCGGGCGTTCCCGTTTCACCTCAGAACTCTATTCCTGGCTCCTATTACGTGAAACGTCACGGAAATATGCTCCCATCCCATGATGGGCATTGCATAAAGCTCGGCAGCGATTAGTCCAGAGCCGTATCTGACTCATAGACGGACGATGATTATGTCCTAATTCGAGGGTCAGGGGATCAGCTCGAATCGCTCTCGACGTGCTCAACGGTCGGGATCTCCGGTATAGCTTTTCAGTCGCATGGAACAAGGACCACAGGCTAGGTCTCCGAGGCATTGGGAGCCTTGAGAATCCGACGCGACCTGAGTGAGCGTGATGAGGATCATCTAACAGCATAGGTACCATTGAGAGGGATTAGTCTCGATCGATCTCACTCGCCCCGGAAGATCCAAAGACCTCCGTCTGGAGCAGCTAGTCTCCGGAAATGTGCCCGATGCCCGACGATCAGAGTTTCGTGATTTTGTAGCGCGAATCGTTGGAGACAGAACACGAGCGGGTCTATAGGTTCGGTTTCTGAAAGCCGGCTTCATCAGTATGGGGAATCTCATTGAAACCGAACCCTGAACGACAGAAGCACACGGGGGTTCTGAATAAAGCGTTGCAGGACAGAGTGACATAAAGCAGAGATTTTTGAGCTCTCCTCCATGAATTGAGCATCTACCGATTCCGTCGAGGGAATGTGAGATTGACTCTCCACGCCGGAGAAGGTTTTGTAGCTATGAGATCTCCCGACGAATGTCTGACGTGACCGCGAGCCCGTTCTTCGCATGAGCTGAGCATTATGTCCTCGCTGATTTCCAACATTCTCCATGGAAGTCATAAACTGGGAACGATAAACTCAGCGTGCGCGGAGATGAGCTAGAATGCTCGAAATCTGGTCGGCGCGGTTTTCGAGTATGTGAGAACAATCGGAGACTTTTTCGTACTCATTGAAGATGATATATGGAGAGGGTAGTCCGTAGGAGATTTTGGACCATCATCAGAATCTCGAGCAGGCGGCGGGCGCCGGACGAGTTTCGGAGTTTCGAGGGTGCGAGAGATTTCTGGAGTCACTTCGATCAAACACCGCCCCGGAACACCGATCGCCGCGATAATTTCTTCGAAACGATGAACCTCGAGCGAGTGCGAGTCAGGGGGACTGCGTACGCCATGATTTCCGAAGTCTTGCCCACAATGTAGTGTTATCAGTGAGTTTCTGCTTTTAACGGCATACTGCCGCATGGAGGATATCAGATGAAGAGAGCAATCCTCTAACCTAAGTCAATCTCGGAAGCGAGGGATTCGGACTCTGAGCTCGGAGTTTCATTGATGCTCGTTAGGGAGGGCTCTCTCCGGAATCCACGCAGTATAAATGGCGGGGGACTGCGATGCTTTGCGCACAGTGGTGAACTTCACAGCACTTCATAGCATTCTCGCGACCCACGGATCGAGCCAGAGTTTTGCTTCGACTTGTGAGATGGCGCCAGTTGCACCTGAAGTCGCTGTGTCGGAGCTGCGGGAGAGCTTGGCTCAAATCGAAGATAAGATCGTCTGCAGCACGGATGACCGATTCTTGTTGAGTTTCCTCCGTTACAGGAAGTTTGACGTCAAAGCAGCGTTCGCCTCTGTGATGAAGTACTATGGACTTCGTAAAGAGTTCCCTGAGAAGATTTGGCCCCGTGGAAGAGGTATCCAGTGGATGGAAGCTTACGCAGCCCTAAATAACTGTTCCGTGCTTCCGAGGAAGAACCCGCGGGACAACACCTGGATCTTCGCGTGGCGGAAGGGTCTCTGGAAGCCCGAGGAGGGCGTGTACGATCTGGCGGATTATTTCGCGTGGAGCCTCTATATGACGGAGTATTTCCTCTACATGAAGGAAGACGTCGAAGACTCCGACGGTTGGACATGCATCATGGATTTAGCGGGGTTTGAAGCGCGCCATCTACCGTATTGCGACTTGCGTGCCGTCCGGACGTATGCGCGTATTCTAACAGGAGCTCTCCCAGTCAGAGTCAAAGCCATCCACTTCGTGAATGTGCCGACTGTGTTTCAGTTCGTGTTGAAATTGGTGAAGTATCTCCTGACCAATAAGCTGAGAAGTCGCTTCTTCGTGGACGACTCATTCTCGAACCTCCATCAGAGAGTCGATCCAGATGTCCTGCCGGTGGAGTATGGTGGATGCGATGGAAACTTCAGCTCGAGATGGCTCTACGAGGAAATGCTACACCACGATAAAGAAATCAAGGAACGTAGTTATTACGGCTTCAAATAGCTCATCATTCCTGAAGAGCTGATCAGATGTGCACATCGGAGAATGAAATAAACACGAAAATGATTACAACGCGATGAATTCAGCCGCAGTGTCTGTGTCAGCATCCCTACCGGAGCCCTGACTGCATTGGTCGGTCGCCTACGAACTCAAGCGACCTCGTCTCGCGGGCGCAGAGTCCGCTAGTAATAGATTTTTGTTTCTCCGATGTCCTCTCTGTCTTCGCTCGTGCTGATCTTCTGAGGGAGGCTGAATCACTCTCATGCTGGACTCACTACCATTCTAGATATAGGATGCAGGTCTGGCTTTCTCCAAGAACACAACTTCAATGAGCAGGAGGCTGATCGTTTTCCCCCAGATCCTTTCGATGAAAGAATCTCGTTATCTTCATATTGTCTGTATGGTCCTCGTTATCTTCATATCGTCTCGCGGCCTTCTGCGATTTGCCTAGCGGTCTCTGCGTTCTGCCTGCGTTCTATTCGAGCTCCGTGCTGCCTAATCTGTGCTCCGTGCTGCCTAATCTGTGCTCCGTGCTGACACCCGTACCTTGCTCTTGGCGGGCGTACGTCCTACCCTCCCCATCCTGCGAATCGGAGCCCATCTTCCCGTCGTTGGTCTCCAGTCTCCTATTATCCCTACCCGCGTACTCGCGCTCGTGTTCAGAGGTGGCCATTGTATATTACGAGACTGTGCTTTGCACGTAGTGCACGTCTCCTCCGTACGATCGCTCAGTTTTCCACATGTACGTATAACGTGTGAGGGGCATTCACTCATCCTCTGAGAGGAAGATATGATCCTCTCGGTGAATACTTCTGCCTTCAACCTTGAAAGTCTGTCGTGCTTTGATCGGAATGTCCTGCTACGTGTCGAGCAGAGACCCAGAATCTTCACGAAACTTGATCCTCAGATACCCCCATGGATCCGACACGCCCCGAAAATCCTAGAGATCAGGCCGCAGCGCCGGCTGGATTGCCATTTCTGCCGGTGCCGATGAAGCCCAACAGTACGTACCAAACGACTGGGAGCAATTATCTTGATATAGGAATATTTTTGAAATTTTGGCATCTCCGCCGAGGATAACGCTCATCGTCCCGTGTTCCATTCTTATAGGGGACCCGATATGGAGTACGCTCTACGAAGACAAGACGGAAACGCAGTCCTGTGCTTGTTGTGTCCTGAGCGAAGGGAATTCACCTCTAACCGGCAAAACTATAGAACATTCCGCCGACATCTCGAGAACGATCATATGCTCTATAGATGTTCTTCGAACCCAACCCCTTCAACCAGCACCCAGGGAACGAATCGGGATGATGCGATTGCCAGTAGGAATACCTGTTCAAGCAGACTGAGCCATCCCATCGCATGCGGAGCACTGCCGAGAGCAACAGCATTCGCGCCCCTGTAGACGACAGGATCCCCATCGTGACGGGACAAAAACTGTCAGAAGACGACAGAGACTTTCGCGAATTGCTCATCGGGCTGTGGATTGCTCATTCCGATATACCAGCCCACAAGTTCGAGGGCCCTGCCTTCCGATTGGCTTTTTGGAAGATGGGATTCGGAGTTATCAATGAAGAAATTGCCAAAGACTCGGTGGATAGCGAGTACATTCGAGCGCGGGATTCACTGAAGGCCGACTTGGCTGAACTGAAAGCTCAGGGTGCCGCATTCGTTCTGTCCACCGACGAGTGGACGCTCAAGACCAAGCGCTTTGTCGGGGTGACATTACACATACCGTGCTTGAAGTCAAAAAGCGTCGAACTCATGGGCCGATTATTCGACAGCGGAGACGCTGAAAACGTCTTGCGGGTCATAAAAGACGCTCTCCAGCAAAATTTGGGCCTTCCCCTGGACGACATACACGGGCTGACCACCGACGGGGCGAGCATTATGTATCGCCTCGCGAAATTATTCGGATTGGAGAACGAAGAACGGCTATTTTTTCATCAAGCGTGCTACTCGCACGCTTTACATCTGGCGGTGATCGACACGTTGAGAAACAAACGACTGAATGATGATCGAATAAATCTTGGACGGATGGAAAGTGACGAGGAGAACGAGGAGGAGGCTCCCCCCGACGCAGAAAGAGGTGGGGAGCTTACCTTCCTCGTCGAAGTCAGAAGGCCAGACGAAGCGGCGGTCGACGGTTTCGAAACTCAGGTTTGCGTGAACGACTGGAAGGGGTGAAAGAACAGAATCCGGGAAATACAGAGCTTATCAGACCCCGCGGAATGGTTCTATGTTAGATCGGCAGATAATCCGGCAGATCTCTTGTGTCGCGGGATGAATATAGCGGATGCGGAGCTCAGCCCAATGCGGCGTCCAGGCCCAGAGTGGTTGACGTCACCGGGGCGTCCGATGGAGAAGCACTCTTTGAATAGTAACTTTGAGAACGATCTTGGAAAAAAGAGAGAATGACAAAGGCGCTTTTCACGAGCGCGCGGCTGCAACCGGATTCCTTAGTTCTCGGCTCCCGGATGTCATCTTGGAGCACTCTGGTGAGCAGCATTTCTGGAATCCTCAGATGGTCTTCGAATCGCCGATTTCCGGCGGAAAAAGTGGCTCTCTCTGACCCAGTCAGAACGGTTGAAGCGCTCAATGCGTCGGAAAAAATTTTGCTCAACGTTCAGAAAGCTCACTTCGGCGAGGAGTTGATCTCAGCATGCAAAAACGTCGGGAAGGGTAGCAAACTTCACAAACTAGCCCCTTTCATAGATGAAAGAGGCGTGTTGCGATGTCGATCCAGACTGAAGCGCTCCGAGGGATTGAGCTACGAAGAGAAATTCCCTCAAGTGCTGCCAGGAGAAGATCCAGCGGTCAGACTCCTCATTAGATTTTACCGCGAAAAGAAGTGTTTCCATGTCGGAGGAGTGGCGGCGACGCTCAGCGTTCTGCGGAGAAAATTCTACATTCTGTCGGCGCGTCGAGCGACGAGTAGCTTCTTGAGGGACTGCAAGATCTGCATGCTGTTTCGAGCAGAAGCGGCGACTGAGCCAGTTCCTCCGATCCCAAACTTCAGGTTGGAGACAGCTGCTCCGTTCACCGTATGTGGGGTGGACTATGCGGGGCCGATTTCGTACAGGCAGGAGGTGAAGGAGGCAAAGGAGCTGAAGATTATCTACGACCACATAAGGAGTCCAGCGGTCCAACGACATCTAGTTAACGCGGAGATCGTTTGGGAATTCATCACACCCCACTCCCCTACCTACGGCACTTGGTGGGAACGTATTGTGCAAACGGTAAAACGTCCGCTGAGGAAGATACTTACGTTACGATTCAGGGAGCTAGAGACGGTTCTTTTCGAGATCGAATCCCTTGTGAATCAGAGACCCCTCACATCGGTGCAACTTGATCCGAAGGAGATCAGCGCGTCGTCGCCAGCAGACTTACTTTATGGGTATAGAGCGAGGCCAACCCTACCAGAAATGAAATTCAGTCCGGATTCGAGAGAAGCGGCGAATTCGATCGTTTCCTCACGACGCTGGAGGCACCAGCAATCAGTGATCCGGGCTTTTCAGAAGCGGTTTTCAGAAGATGATGGGCGAAATATCCCGTTCGGGCGACCGAGGTCACGAACAGTCCATGGGGGCTCCGATGGAAGGTGGACATGGTCCAGAATTCGTATGGAATCGGAGGGAACTAAGTCCGGTTTGGTTCGGGAAAGGAGGACGTACGAGTGCTCTCCGACTTGACTTTTTCAGTGAACTCATCCAGCGACCCGGTTCCGGACCGCGTCGTTCGTCTCGTATGTACCGACTGAACATCTCGCGCTGGTAGAGTCAAGTGGAATTTCAGAAATCGATTTCCGTCGACCATAGCCTGGTCGAATGTGAGCGGGGAGCGAGTCTCTAGAATTCTCGAATGTCGAGAAAGCTGCCGACGAAATATGTTATTCGAGAATTTTGCCGGGAGTGTGACGCAAGGCTCAGGTATTTCCCATTGACTAGAAATAAAACGAGTCCCGAGTCCTAAATCAGTCCCGTCTCGCCTGGTCATTCATCTGTAGACAGCAACGTTGACCGGAGAATTCCAGAATCGAGACATGGGATTCCGTCGGCCCGTCTATCCATTGATCTGGTTTCGAGAGTGAATTCACACTGAGGGCTTCGAATTCCAGATGACTCATCTCGCCTGGTGGTACTACATCTCCAAGTTCGTGGAGTTCGCTGACACGTTATTCTTCGTGGCTCGGAAAAAGTTCTCGCACATCTCAACCTTACACGTCATTCATCATGGAATGATGCCCATGTCTGTGTGGTGGGGAGTCAAGTTCACGCCCGGAGGACGCTTCGTGCACTCGTTCCAACTTCTGTTCCGTCCCGATTGCGACTACCCGCACGGCTTCATGTGGTGGATCGGTTTCCACGCAGTGATGTTCTGGTGTCTCTGCGCCGGTTTCTACCGGAACGCTTACTTCAACAAGAAGCTTGCCGCATCGACGTCCGTGGGGAACGGGGCGAGCGGAAACGGCAAGCAACATAATCATGCCAGCGGGAACGGAACCAAGAATAAGGGAGCGCTGAACGGGTACTGTCACCTCAACGGACTTCACGACGATGTCGACGAGACGAAGCCTGTCCTCAGTAGCAATGGCTCGCAGAACAGCAAGATGGCGGTCACGAATGGAGGACCCAAGACGAGAGCCCGAGTCAAGAAAGTGGAGCGAGAGATTGACGAGCTATCCGTGGAAGAAGAGGCTTTCTCGGTTATCACTCGTCGGATCGACGTGCACTGCGACGAGGCTGGTCCTCGTTGCTTTCTCACAGACAGAACGCACCAAGGAATAGTGAAAACAAAAGAGTGTATCCGGGCAAAAAATCGGTGGCCAGCGGTGGACAAAAAGATCGAAGATACTATCAAAGATTGCAGAGTCTGCGCGAATAGCGACCGAACGGTGTGCGTGAGGGCAGCACCGGTGGAAACGACACCCTGGCCGACGGAACCCTGGACGAAGCTGGCGGTGGACATTCGAGGACCTGACAGCTCACTGGGAGAAGCGAACA